GCAAAGTTGGCAGCTGGATATAAATCCTATTGATTCGCATGCCAACTTGCCAGAAGCGAACACTATGAAGGTTATTAATAAATTAAGATGGATCCTTCGCGCGACACTAGGAGAAGAAAAATCCAAATGCAAAATTCCCTAACAACGTACGAACTTATTCCCTATTGAAACGTTGGAAAAATAAGAATCGAAGAGCTTCATATCGGAGTTCCTTTCGCGAATTAATACAGGGTGTATCAAAAGTTGCAACATTCTTATTCTGAAGAATATTAAATTTTTCTGATTAAGAAAATTAATTTAACATTTAGTGTATGGAGTTTATTTTTCAAAATAATGTAATGGGTTCATCAAGGACCCACTGAAAATTCAGTGAAATGATTTTGTTTTTTTTTTTTTCAGTAACATATAGATATATAATTCTGTATTAAAATTTGCAATATTTATTTTTATATAAATAATAAATTTCTCACTCCATACTCTAAAGGTTAATCTATTACTAGGCCAATAAGGGAACAGAATTTTCCTAAAATTTATAGTGCACAAAATCACTTATAATATAATATATGCAAAATATTATATACACTTGCACATATTTAAAAATTCTTTTCAAATTAGAATAAAATACAGTGTTCAGTTTAATAAGTAATGCTGATTATTATATTTGATATTTCTGAAAACAATTTTAAAAAATTAAGAATGAACATTTTTTGTGATACACCCTGTAGAAAAACAATAGTCCTGTAACCAGTTACGGTTTTCTATTAGTCGTCTCTCTATCATTCCTCGTCCTTACCTCGTCCTTCGTACGTTTTGGAAAATCCTATCACTTTAATTAAATATAATTTCTTTGCCGTGTAATGTGTATGTATATATACATTTATCGTACGTATATGTATACATACAATCGTCGTAACGTTAATGATTAAACTTTAGGCGTTTACTCGCCTAGAGGTGTACAGATTTTCGGCGTTCAAAGGAAAACATAGAATAAAAAAGAAGGTAAGAAAAGTGTGAAAGTTTAGAGTCGCCGGAAATCTCGTATGTAAGGCTTTCTTCCTTTCACGGAAGGTTCTTGCGTATGTGTATGAAATTCGTACAGGGCTATTCAAAAAGAATATCTTTGTCGATCGAATAGCTGAGAATGTAGAAAATTATACCAAATTACTGGTAATTTGTCTTTTGAGTGCTCGTTTGTTCGTTTAATTCGGTGGGATTCGCTTTGACGTGATTTTAATTCGAGTTTTCCGCCATATTTTTTTATCGAATTTGGCGCCATTACATTCGACGCAATTCAAATTTGGCGCCATTAGGATTCGACGCGATTCAATTGCGACGCCATTCAAATTTCACGCGATTGAATTTAGCGCGATTGAATTCGATAGAGTTCAAATTTAATGTGATTGAACTCGACGCAATTCAAATTTGGCGCCATTAGGATTCGACGCGATTCAATTGCGACGCCATTCAAATTACACGCGATTGAATTTCACGCGATTGAATTCGATAGAGTTCCAAGTACGATGCAATTCAAATTTGGCGCGAATGAATTCAACGTGATTCAAATTTGGCAATTCAAATTAGATACAAATAAAATTTAATAAAATACAAACTCTGTTCGATTGAATTTAACGCAGTACAAATTTAGTTCAATAGAATTCACAATTTAAATTTGAACTCATTCAAATGCGCCATTGAATTTAACGCGACTCAAGCACAATACGTTCGAAATTCAATGCAATTCAAATTAAAATAATTAAAACGGGATGCAAAAGGATTCATCAAGTTTCCAATTCGTTGTAATTTAAATTTGAACTCATTCAAATTTGGCGCCATTGAATTAGCGATTCAAACTCGATACGATTGAAAGGTATATACAATTCATAATTAAAATAATTGAAACATGGTGCAAAAGAACTGATCACCCTTCAAATTCGCCATAATTTAAATTTGAATTGTATCAAATTCAACGCAATTCGAACTCAGCGATTCAAATTTGGCGCCATTCAGCCGCGCGATGCAAGCGCCCTCTAACCTCCATTACATCACTCCCAATTACAACACAATTATACCGTTCTAAGAAGAACCTTACTCGTCATTTGGAACAATTAACACATCTTCAAGTATTCAAAAGACAAAGAACGCATATAAAACACGGACATTCTTTTTGAACAGCTCCATACATTAACGTATGTACATACGTCTAATTTGTTTTTATTCAACGATCAACTTGGACGTATCTGCACACGTATAAATATATATATACCGATATAGAAATAAACTATAACTGGAATTTTGTGTAATGTATACAAGTATAAAAAGCTTTTGTTACTCGTTACAGATCAATTCATCCTTGCCTGCGCGTTCGTTTCTGAAAACGTTTGTATTCCCTCGACAAAATGCATTTGTCCGTTGTTTACGTGGTTCAATTTTTATCCCTTTATGAGGAAAATCGACAGAAGAAAATGTCGCGATAAAAGTCTTTACAATTGAGGTTATGTACAAACTCTCTTTATAAAAATCCGTTGATACTTAAACGAAAATATCAATTGCGTTCGTTGTACATTGTCGCCGAAGGGTAAAAATTTATTTTTATTCTCGTTTGATGTTTTTAATAGAAAAAAGATCTGTCTTCGAATTAGCAATAATTTTATAGTATAGATTGTATATTTATAATCGTTAATTCGCACATTTTCTTCTGCCAACTTAAACTTTGAATTGCTAAATAAAAGTTCGACCTTCGTCCGATTACTGATTCAGTGGGGTCAATTTAGGTCCACGAATACAGGAAGATCCCATCGATGTGACATAACCTACTTTCACCAGGTTCAGACGAAACTATCAACTCGTGGAATAAGAGTCATGGGAAGTTGTTTGAAAACTATATTAACACCTTGAATGCCACGCAATTTTCAGATCGTTACATAAATAAATACATACATAAAATAGAAAAATAATAAATTAACGCTAGTTTTATAAAAATTCATTTTCTTGACTTCAAGATGGCGCTCAAAGTGTTAGGTTAATTTAAACGGAGGAAGACCTCGTTAATTAGAAATAAAAAAGATTCGAAATTTGAAAGTCTTGGAAGTCTTGTCCACCCCTAAGATCAGTGTTTGAATGAGTTAAAAATAATTAGTGTAAATATCATAATCGTTATTATTAAATATAATATAATATAACATCGAGGAAACCTAAAATCTTTCAAAAATAATAATATCATAATTAACAATCGTTTGTAAATACTTCATTAGAGGCCAATGACAGGCCACGCATTTTGCAACTTGAATAACAAGAAGCATTTTCGGAAAAATATCACTTTAAATCAAATTTCGCTGCTACTAAAAAAGATACGCTTATTATTCTTCGAAGAGCTGGACGCAATCTTTGAAAGACCTGTCTCTTTTCTTTATTCGAAGGAACTTTCGTAATTTTTTTTTTCGTGTTTTTCAAATATATATACGGTTTTTGGAAAATTCCTTTGAGTATCTAGTATTACAGAAAAAATAATGGTGCTTCTTTTACAATGTTTCAAGACTTTCACGACCATCAAATTGTTACATGTTATCTAAAAATCGATTAGAGGAAACAAGTATCAAAGTTAGAAACTATACTGCAGTTACTTGAACATTTTCAAGAGAGAGTATCGAATGCCCATTATTACTCCTGTATCGTCACTTAATCGTGAAACGTGTACATATTTTTCACGTCTCTAGATTTTTAATTTCAATAACTACTCGGTGAATCAGGAATCGGAGTGAGATTCAATGGAAGTGTTACATTAAAATTGCTTCATTATCTTTAATCGTATAGTTTGTTCGTTATTATTCATGTTCGTCGTTTACAAATGGCGGACATTCGTGGACACTGTCGAGTCAAGTTTCTAACCTAAAAATCTTTTTATTTGAGATTCAAAATTTTTCACAAATTCTCAAATTCAATTTTTACAATTATAAAATTTTTAAATTTGAAAACTTGTGGATATGGAAAATTGGAATGCAAATTTGAAAATTTTTATTCTCTATAGAGAAGTTATTTTTAGCAGTGTTTGGAAGTTTTTAATTTGTAAATTTTTAGTTTACAAGGTTTTGTTGTATATTTAGATGAGGGGTTTCTTATAGTAAATTTTCAAATTTATGAATTTTTAAATTAAAAGACTTGATGTTTGTATATTTTCTAGGTTGTGAATTTTTGGATTGCAAATTTTCAAATTTCAATTTACTAAACTTTGTACTTAAATTTTGGAAATTTTGAGACATGGAAAATTGAAGATTTAGAAATGAAAAAATTTATATTTTTAAATTCTTGAATGACTGTTTCAAATTTACAAATTAAAGAAACTGGTAACATTAATATTTCAAGTTTACCACTTCCTAACCTCAAATTGACAAATTTAAAAGTTGACTATTTTCAAATTCTCTTATAACATCAAGTTCATTTCCAAATTAAAAATAATGATATTACCACATTAAATTTCCAAAATCCAAATTTATTAAGCTTAAAAAATTTCCAAACTCCAAATCTACCTTTAAAAAATTTCCAACCACCAAGTCTCTCAAGTTTAAAAATTCCCAAACCCCAAATCTAACTTAAATAAATTTCCAAAGTCCAACAAATAAAAATTTCCAACCACAAAATCCAACAAACTAAAAAAAGTCTAACTACAAAATCAATTTTTTAAAACTTCCAGTTTCCAATTTTCCAACTAATCAATCTAGCTTTTCTCCTAAACGAGAAATCTGCCCTCCAGTGCCCGCAAAGTGACTGGGCAGTTGCCCAGTTAATTCCCAGTAGCGAACGTGTCTAAAAACATCGTCCACAGATTTTAATGTAACACCTGTTGAATCGCGTTGACGCGTTCTTGCGTCAGGAATAAAACCGAGGGGCAAAAAGTGGAGCAAAGTGAAGGAAACTGAGAAAGGTGTTGGTATTTAAGGAACAGCGTACGATGATTCTATTCCTTTTCCTTTTCCGTCATTTCGTTCGCCTGGCTCGTGTTTTTCCTCTTGAAATTCGCAAAGAGGGGTGAAATAATGTCGATTCTTCTTCGTTGACGAAAATGATGTGAACAAACGCATTCCTGTCGATCTTCTTCCGGTTCTGTAATTCGTTATTCTTCTTCTCCATCGATCTTGCCTGACGGATCAGTTCAATCGCGATCCCACGAAACGCGCACTCTAAGAAGTTCCTATTTCGCTCTCTCCTTCGTTTTCTATTTTATTTTTATTCCTGACTCCACTGTTTTTTTTCTCTCTTTCTCGTTTTGTCGTTCTCTGTTCGCGTCGTCGTGATATCCATTGAACGGGGAAGAGTTGATTAGGGTGTTGCAGGTGACGTGATCGCCATCAGGGGCGCTGGTGGCAACGCGACAGGTATGTGATAGTATTTACACTGGGGTCGCATGCATGCACCCTTTACTGCGTCCCTGCACACGGTTACGCGATTCTCGATCACCTCCACGTTTCCTGGAAAAAAAGAGGAAAATTCAGATGGTGATGGTTTTACGCTATTAAGAAACCAAATGAAAAATTAATTTTTGCTTTATAGATGCTTTACTTTCTTTTATTGTTGGGGTTTTGGAAACTTAGGATGTGGAATTTTGTAATTGGGTTTTTGGAGCTTGAAGATTTTTGGATTTTTGGATTTTTGGAGCTGGAAGATTTTTGGATTTTTGGATTTTGGAGCTTCAAGATTTTTGGATTTTTGAATTTTGAAGCTTGAAGATTTTTGCATTTTTGGATTTTTGGAGCTTGAAGATTTTTGGATTTTTGCATTCTTGCCTTTGGAATTTGAGACACAGGAATTTTGAATGTTTAGAATTTTTGGATCTTTACATTTTGGAATTGTGACATTCCTCAATTTCTGAATTTCTGAACTTCTGAATTTCTGAATTTCTGAATTTCTGAATTTCTGAATTTCTGAATTTCTGAATTTCTGAATTTCTGAATTTCTGAATTTCTGAATTTCTGAATTTCTGAATTTCTGAATTTCTGAATTTCTGAATTTCTGAATTTCTGAATTTCTGAATTTCTGAATTTCTGAATTTCTGAATTTCTGAATTTCTGAATTTCTGAATTTCTGAATTTCTGAATTTCTGAATTTCTGAATTTCTGAATTTCTGAATTTCTAAATTTCTGAGACCTTCAATTCCTGAATCCATGACTTCTTGAATCATTGACTTCCTGAATCCTCGAATTCCTGAATCCTTGAATTCTTGAACTCTTGAATTCCTGAACTCTTGAATTCTTGAACTCCCGAATTCCTGGATTCTTGAATTCCTGAATTTCTGAATTCTTGAACTCCTGAATTCCTGAGTTTCTGAATTCCTGAGTTCTTGAATCCTTAAATTCCTGAATCCTTGAATTCCTGAATCCTTGAATTCCTGAATCCTTGAATTCCTGAATCCTTGAATTCCTGAATCCTTGAATTCCTGAATCCTTGAATTCCTGAACCTGAATCCTT